TAAGCTCAACAATTATGAAACAAGAGATTCCTCGAAACCCAACTTTTCTTCTGAAAATTTTGTCATAATCCAATGCAAGACGATTAAATGCATCTTAGATAGGTAACAAATGTCAAAAGACTTCCCCAACATTCCAGAGACATGAAGGATGCATTTTGACGAAACACAGGGCAAAAGGTAAAGCATGGAGGGGCAGGTGGACCTCAACCACCAGCTCCCACTTCGGAGGAAGTCAAATGAAAAAAGGAGCCAGGGACAAGGATAAGATCACAGCTAGTCGCAGTTCTTGGTTTGGTGCTGGAAGAATCTTGCTAAAAAAATGGTTTACGACTCACATGATGTTTGCCATGCCTGGATAGACAGAGCTTAGCAGGCAATAAAAATCATCAGAGGGAGGCTTCTTTGCTCAAATCAACAGTCACAAATGCAATGAAAGCTTCCTTTGGTTTCAGCTGAAGCCAATTTATGAACTCCTCCCATCCACATTTACCGTCTCAATGAAAGTTTGTGATATAAAATCAAAACTTGTCTGTAATTCACTGTAGGCAGCTCCATCGTCAGGACACAAGCACCAATAAGCCGATCATTATGGAAAAAATTTGTTATTATTATATAGGGTAATCTGAGTTTTGATAATTTTAACTACAAAAAATGGCGGTCACCATGGTTAAAGTTGCTGAGCCAGAGTCTGTAAGTTGATCTAAAAACGATTAAGCGAGAAGATTTAATCTTAAATTTGTCTCAATTCCTGAAAAGATAGAAATTGATAGATAATAATAATCGTATAATTTAGGTCATTTATTCAGATTCAATAATTACCTCCCTCTCCAAAATTACATGGGCCAATCTCATAAAAGTGAGGAATAGATATTCCGAGTTAGAACTCATCAGTGAGTGAGAATAGCCAGCTGTAAGAAATAAAACGACATAAAAACATTGCATTACAACTCAGCCTCGCCTGGTGATGTGAAGCAGTTTTGAGGTACCACGAGGCAGGAAGAAAGAGACAAGACGAGCAGGTGCCGGCAAGCCATCCTCTTGATTGGCAAAACCATTTGGCTGCTGATTGGTGTTCACCTGCGGTGAGCCCGAGCCCGGACAAGGTTGGGGCGGTTGGGAAAATGGCGGTGGA